AGAGACTGAGTGAAGAGAGCAATCGTGGCTCTGCTGTATATTTTAAAGCCTTGCAGATATGCTAAAAGAGATTGTGCTGAAGGGTGAATGTAAAGTCGGCAGGCCTTGTTTAATTCTGCGTGAGAATATGGCAGTCACATGGTGGTTTTTTCCTGCCTTGAACATGATAGAAGTCCTTCTTCTGCTGTTCATGGTGTGAAGCACTGAAGTTTTAAGTTTTCAAGCTGCTGGGTGAGAGAAGCTTCAGTTAAGTTGGATTTGAATGTAAGCTGGAAAGTGTTGCCTTAGATCCTCCTAAGTACCACAACCTTACTTTGCAAGGATTAGTTGTTTCTTTTATGTGAGCGTTGTTGTATCACGTGAGGTGAAGTTTTTTCCATTTCTACTTTTGATTAGGGAAAATAAAAAGTCCTTCAGAACAGAATCAATTCAAGATTCTGGGATCGTTATTGATCATCTAAGCTGCCATTCCACAATGAAATGGCAGCTTAGATGATCACTGGTTCACTTTGAATAGCTGCCGAAGAAGGTGTCCGGGAATCCTGTGGGCCTGTAGAGGACCAGAGTTCTCTTTGACACGTTAGATGGCAACAAGAGAGATGGGTTAATGTTGGGTAAAGCTCTGACATCCAAGTGGAGGCTTGCTGGTTAAAGGAGAATTAACATCAGCTAGTGAGCCATCACTAAGTAACATCTGTGTGAAAATCAGCAACATGCAGGCAAATGCAGGGATGTGGATGCTTTTCCACTTTTCATCTTGTAGATTTCTCTGCAACGTTAGAAAGAGTCACTAATGCCTGTTCTGAATGCGTTGAAGTGATTAGGAGAGGGCATAGCTACAAGCCGCAAAGATAAAAGGACAAAACACATGAAAGCAGTTCTGGGATTACTCTTCTGTTGTGTTGTAATGATTTAAATGGCTGTAATATGCCCCGTCCTGGAAGGAAAACAGCTAACAAGAAAGAGTCTTAACTATAAGCTGGAAAGGTAGAAGCTGGGGATAGATATAACTGGTGCTGAAGAAGAACTAGTATCATTTGAATAATTTAAAAATAATTTCTAATGATTTTCAGATTTGCAGACAATTCAAGTCTGGTTTTTTTAAAAGCAAGTAACTGATGTCAGTTTTGCCTATAGTGCCAGTGAGATCAGAAAATTAGCAATTATATATATATTACTGTGCCATCTCCTCAAGCCTTCTGTCTTACCAGCCCACTAACTTTTGCCATTCTTATGTGACAGGAACACAGTAGGAAACTAATAGCAATTTTGAAATCCGCTGTCTCCTTAGACTTTCCAAGTTTGTTCTCTCTCTCTTTGCAAGGCACAAACTGTTAGGGTGATGTCATCTGAAGGACAATAAATAAAATTTTCACAAAACATATTTGCATTTATGATCTTCCTTTAGCTCGTTGCTCCTGTTTGATTTTAAAATTAGGCAGGAGGACCTATTTTTTTGTACAGAGATATTTTTTCTAACCCTCCTGTCTTTTAGACCTTGACCCTCAGGAACTGAAGTCCCTTGCCTTCAGATGGCTTGCTGAAGGAAGTATAAAGATTCAAAGCAGCATATCTTTTGTTTAACTGTGTGCCATGGTTTGATTGTTCTGCCCCATTTCTGTCACCTTGAAATGATGGAACAGAAACCTTGACAGTGAGGAGCACTAAGTGGCAGGATCACCTTGCAAAAATGTATCCAGAGTCATGGTATCTGAAAAACAGCTGAAAACCATCCAAGTCAGAGTAACCATGTGTTGGCATGAGGTGCTAAGGACAGTAAGTGCAGGTGACCATGGCAAGGGATGGATGGGCTTATGGGGTGTCACTGAAGTCCAAAGTCACTGAAGACTGTTTCCCCATGGAGTACTGAGTTGTGTCTATGACCTCTGTGTGTTCAAGTAAGGGGACTGTAAAACAGAAGAGAGTACTACCTTTGAGCTTCACAGTTGTGAGAGCAAACATATGCACATGTGTAGAGGGCAGATGGGGCTTTAGAGGACGGAAGAGGGAATACTATGAGCAAACAGTCAGATGTTAATGGGGTGACCCATTCATTTGTGTTTTTTCAGTAGTGTCTTACAACTATGATGTTATGATATCTTTAACACCTATTTAATGATAACCATCCAATTTCTAAATTAAACTACCTAAATACCAAGCTGATGTTTATACCAGTCTTGAATGTTTGAAATCAGTCCAGCTGGAGATTTAGTCTGCAGCCTGAACTGTTGAGTAATCCGCACTGTGTTTTAACACACTTCTCCTCAGCCCCTGCTTCCAGCTCTTACCTGAGGAGTGGGGAAGCTCATCAGCTCAGTAAAGGCAAGACATTTATTCAGGCACAAAATTCTTTTAATCACAGTATTTAACCATTCAGCATATTCATATCTTAGTTCCCAATGAGAAAACAACAGTGCTTGAAAATTATCCTAAAGGACTAGTAATACATTTCCAAAAGGTGGCCTGTTTCTATAGTTACAATGCTTCCTTGATTTTTGACCAGCTAGATTTTCACAGCTTGTAAATATGCATCAAGAACTCCAACCCTTTTGTTAGTACCTGGGGGAAGGATGGCATTTTTGTTTAAAGGCCTGATCTTTCTTGCAGAGAGCTTCCAGTTGTTTTCTGTAGGGGTCTGGCAGATCAAAGGTGTAGGATCCAAATGAATGTGGAAATCAGGAGAGACTGGGATCCCGAAGTTTTCAAGAAGAGAGAAGTTTTTGTTGTCTCTATGGGATACCACAGCTTTGCTTCCTTTTGATGATGATTGCTGGAACGTACTGCCAGACAGAATGATTTTTGGTATTACCTAATTTGCACAGCAATGCAAAATTATGGTTCTGACACACTTCATATTTTAGAAATCCTCTACACATTCAGTTATTTTTTAATCTTACTAGGCTTGCTGTCGAGTTGATGTTTAAACCTGTCTTTTATGTATTCTTAATGAATCTAAGTGAGGATGTAACTGATGAATTCAGACATCTGTGAATCCATGTGATGGTGTATGAAATCAAACTTTAAATATTATGTGCATACGTTTTCTGCCTAGTTCGTGACATGTTGAACTCTTATCAAAGTAGGATGTAGAAAATGGATTTTCTGAAGGATGTATAATATTATTTCTAAATGCTCTGCGGGTTTCTGCATTCCTGAGCAAGGGTAAAATTTGATCCTTGAGCAATCTCTAGCCGTGGGTTAGTCTTCCACAAAATTCTGCTGATAATGAATTAATTGAATGACCTGGAGTTACGAACAAGCATATAGCGCTGGTCATTATTTTAGCTCATTGGCATTGCTCGCATTTTTTAATCATTGTTTCAAAATGTGTTTTTAGCCTTCTTGTGTTGTTCTAAGTAATACTGCTAGTAAAGTGTACCAGCAGAGAATCATGCCACAAAAGGTGACAGACCTCAAATAAGCTTCACAGTGCTCCTGCGATGAAAGAGCATTAATTGCTGCAGAAAAACCTTGTTGATGCATCATAGCAAGTGTTATTTTTAGATGGGTAAAGTAAGAAAGAAGTGAGTGAGTCAGGTGAGTCAGACACTGATGTCGTAGCAGGGAGATGTCTACAACAGAGATACTCTGGCTCCCATTCTTTGTTATAAGAAAAAGGTATTTTTCTGGAGCAGACTAGATTCTGACCTGGGCTTGCCTGTGACTGTTGTCCCCTTCAAACTCCTTGCAGAAACATCTTGTGAGACTGTGTCTCAGAGGAAAGAGGATGGTCTTTGATTGAATTTAACAAGTGCCTACTTTCTCTCTTCCCAAGGGAACTAAAAGAGAAGATTCAGCCTGAGATCTTAGAACTGATCAAGCAGCAACGTCTCAATCGACTTGTGGAGGGCACCTGCTTTAGGAAACTCAACAGTCGGCGTCGGCAAGGTACAGCTCATGCTGCCTGGTCTGGCTTTTTCTTGTCACTTTTGTCTAAAAAACTCAGATGAGGAATACTACTTTAACTGGCAAGTTCCTTGGTTATAGTGCTGTCTTGACTGCTTTTACCAGGGAGCATCTGAAAGCATCTCCTAGTTACAGTTGTAGGATTTCCTGTGTTTCCCTGGAACTGGTTTTGGCTTCATCACACAGATCATCTGGAACAAGTCCAGTATTTGACAAAAATCTTAAGCAGCAGTCTTGCACTCTGAACTGAATATTTTGATTTCTGCCTGCATGTCCAGGCTTCTTGTTCATCTCAAAATAAAATCTCTGCCTATGCGGGAATAGCACATGAAACTTGGTGTAGCCAGAATTTGAATCTTCTAGACTTGGACCACCTTTATATATGCGATGAGCTCATTCTGCAGCCCTCTGTCTAGTACTGCCTGTCCTTGGTTTTTGTCTTCTATTACCATATACATTAAATATATTCTAGTGTTTAAATATGCTTTTAAAAAGCACTTAGATCAGTAATTTGTGTACCTACAGATGAATACTTGATTGACATGAGGAGATTATTGTCTCAATCCTATGAGTCATTGCTCAGTGCTAGATTTACAGCTCATTTTATACAGTCAAACTCTCTGTTGTTTTTTTACCCTCAGAGAGGCACACTTCTTTCTCAGGACAACGTAACAGGCACATGGTGTAAATTCAGCAGATTAATTAGAAGTTGTATCTAAAAATTTCCCTTGAAAACCCCCATTTTTTGAGGATTCAGATTGCCATTTGTTTTCCACTGTAAATACAATACAAATTAGAAAGTTACAAATGCTGAGAGTAAGAACTGACAAAGATAAATATTTGAGACCTTCAGATCAATTGAGGGAAACTGCTTTCTTCACAGAGAGAAGCCTTCCTGCAATGTCTCCTTCCTTAGAAACAAGCACGCAATTTTCCTTAATGTGGGGAGGTTATTTTGGAAAATTTCAAAGCCTTTATGAAATGATTGAGTTGCAGAAAAATGTGATGCATCCTTTCTGTCAAGCGTACAAACACCTATGAAGCCCACTGCACAGAGTTTGGGGAAAAGAGCATTAATATTCCACTGTGACTTTCTATACAGATTTCAGAGGGACGCATGATACCTGTTTTCTCTTCAGCAGCATATTCACAGAGTGAAAGTAGCTAAAGTAATGCGTAGTTTGGTTTGGCTATCAATAGTGAGGGTTATTATTTTATTCCTCTCGGAGCCTTAATCTGACTGACTGAAATTCTAGGGAAGGAGCAGAGTTTGTGGCAAAGAGTCTTCTATTGAGAGATCTTCAAGAGGAAGATAGACTATTTATTTTACCTTAAACTGTTGTTATTTGATGATTTGTAGGATCAGAAGCCTTAGGGAGTATAAATTGGTTCATCTTACATAAGTTGAAGTTTAAAAAAAAAATTAAAAAAATCAATGTAGTCTTTTGGTTCACAGTTGAGCAGGTTGCTACGTATCATGCCTTGGAGTGAATTGTATAGACCACCAGATTAATTGCTTTGATGTCATATTTATACAGGGCCAAAAAAGTTCACGATTCTTTGGAAACGAGTAAAACACATGATCATGCCTCAAAGAACTTGATCTTCTCTGCAATATATTGGGTTTTGTCACACACAAGCCCATTTAGAAGGGCATGTTTCTGCATGCCCCTAAGAATTGTGTGTGCTTTATGTAAGACTCCCTGTATTCCCTGAAACAGAAGTATAAATTATCCACCTGACAGGGAGAAGGCCCAGCCATTACAGAAGGTGGTGATTTAGGGCACCAGGACTAAACTCAGTAAGATCTAACGCTGTGCAATATAATGAAGAAGCAAAGTATGGTTTGTAAACACAAGCATGTTTTGGCATATAAACCATTCAATTGGGATCCTTTTTTAGGTATATACAGTGCCTGGCACAGTCCAAATAGCAAACAGTGACAGCTGGCACAAAGCAGAAGCAGCTCTCTTGAAATCAGCCTTTATCCTTCAGGGTCTCCTGTACCCCAGGGAGAGCAAGCTGTAAGACCAAGGCTGTCACGGTGTCAAGAACTATGAGCTGAAATAAAGTGAACGGAGGACCAGAAGTTTAGCTAGTGATATTAAACATCAGGACAGTCAAGCTTTCAGACAATTCCTCTGAATATCCTGATAAAAATAGTACAAGTCCCAAATTCCTGAGCTTGTCTTCTGTCAGCCTTACCCCACCTCCCCATCTCCTCTCCCCCAACCCACCTCCATGTACATGTGCCCTGTGCTACCTGAGGGTTCAGGAGCCCCATCACCTGCCCACTGCTCCAATGAAATTCACTTGCCACGGAGCATTACCAAGGCCCTCAAAGGGCCGTGGTCCATCCAGGTTAATAAGGAGCTGGAGGAAATAGGGAGTGCTGTGAGACATCACAATTTTCCTGTTAAGTGGCAGCCTACTTGTAAGGGTATTAAGATCAGGCAGGTGTTTTACTTTAGTATGTATACTGCTGCTTTTGCCTTTCCTATGGTTCTTTTTTTCCCCTGAGACAATCCTGGAACAAATGTCACAAATCTACAGATCGTAGAAGAACTTCAATATGCCCTACACAGGAGAAGCTGAAAGCATGAAATTGCCCATTTGAAAAATAATTAACAGGCATTATCCCACGATAAAGATTCCAGAGCAAACTTCTGTTAAGACTGTTGTTTGAACACCTGGTAGGACACACATGGTTAGTCACAGTAAGTTGAAAAAATTAACTTACAAAAAAATGAGCAGGGAGTTTACAGCCTCATACAGCCTTTTGAGAAGAGGTGATACACTTTCATATATACGTGGTATTGGAAAGCCTCCAATCCAACAGGTGATTCATGGGGAGATGCTGAAGATTAAGCTGTGAGGTATCTGTAGTCAGATCTCTGCTTTTTGTGTTTCAGCACAGGATTATCATATCAGCAAGATCTCTCTGTAGCCGAAATTCAGAAATAGCATTGTTGTCCCAGCAGGATCCTTAGGACTTTCAAAGAATACATGGCCTTTCCCTTGCAAGGTTTCATAGGAGAACTGCAGTACTAACTCCCGTTTTTATTAAGCATTCTTAATCAGTTGGAAATGAAACAGCAAAATCTAACCTGCCCTTCTGGTCATTGTTCAACAGCGGATCATGAAGCTCTGCAAATCCACACTTTGTTCCTTAACCGTGAACATCAGCTGACATACAGACCTCTTTAGCTTTCTCCTTCCTTAGTTAATTCCTTACAAAAAAGGGCAGAAGACTAAAGCGAAAGCCTGCAAAGCACTTTACAAACCCAAAAGTTATTATTTCCAGTAGAGCTAAGTAGCAGATAAAGGCATGTTATTGAGGATAATAGATACTTATGATGCTGTCATCCAGTACATTTGTAGTTTATGTTGCTGGGTGCACTCTTGGAAATAAATTTCCCCTTTAAGCTTTATAAAGATTATAGAGAAACTGTGTGTTATTGAAGTGGTTTTGCAGCCAAAGATGAGGTTTCTTGAACAGTCATTTTTGGAAGGGAAAGAAAACTTAGTGATACGCAGCATTAAATTAAATTCACAAGGCACCACGGAAGTAACCTGGAAGGAGAAAGCTTACATTAAAAGAAAAAAATCAAGTGAAGACAGGTTTTCCATCTCTTACTACAATAAACAACTCACACTTCTGAACAAGAACACACACTTTGTCTTTTTTCCTGC